CCGCAAGGAGAAGGCCAAGGTACGGCGGGGAGAGGGAGGGGTGAAGGAGAGAGGAAGGGAGGAATTGAGCTGCGTGCAAGGGATCGGACCAGGTGGTGCCGAATAGGGTAAGGAGAGGAGAACTGCACATGTCGCTAGTGATCTGCAGGAAAAGCCCAATGTGACACAGAGAGAAGCCAGGAAGGAGAGGACATAATTTTGAGACAGAATAGAATCATCTTGCCTGGAGTGCAAAATAATGGAAGCTCATGTCACAGTTTCCAACTTACACGTGAATTAGGTTGTCGCATGCCCTGCGACCTTTCACGTGCCCTGTGTGCAGCCTGTGACGTCAGTGTTCTTTTCCGCTCTCTGTCAGGGAGTGGACGGCCGTCGGGCGCGGATCCAGGACGTGATTCGCCTGTACGAGATCATACTGCAGAACCTGCAGGAAATCCCCAGCTGGCCGGACTCGAGGGAGACCTCGAGATCCGCAGCTCCGTGCAGGCCCAGATCAGCGCCTACAAGGGCTTCAGGTGAGCTTGGGAACGCAACGTTTGGAGGAGAGTCATGGACGCAGCACACGTATTATGTCCAGGCTGAACTTGAATTTCCTAGAATTAATAGGCTGATCCCCTCAGAAATGGCTTCAGTTATGGACAGTCGGCCTTCTTTTATTCCCCATTAGTCTAACATCATCAACTCAACATTCAGGCCGTCCGTTGTCACGTCTGAGTGTGAAGGCTGTGTATGAAACTGTTGAGTGTGTATCGCACCCCATGTTCTTGCGTCACCACGTGCCCCATGTCGTGTCGACAGGTGTTTCTACGTGGCGGAGACGTACGCGGGCCACGAGAAGTGGCCGGAGGCGCTGGCGCTCTACTCGCGGGTGGAGAACTACTGCCAGAACTCGCTGCAGTCGGAACTGGAGCCTGACCTCAAGGTACGCCTAGGCTGCTGGGTGTGGGGAGGCGGAAGGAAGGGAGGGATAGACTGGACAGACTAACACTGCTCACTACTGCCAGAACGTGCTGCAGTCCGACCTCAAGGCAAACGTCTGGTGTGAATGTAAAGGAGTCGGGTGGGTGTCGCTGTGTATGTAACTGAAGGGGAAGAAGGATAGATAGGCAGAGGTTGAATGGAGGGCATGTGCTGGTGTGGTATAGGACGTGAAACAAGTGGGAGACATGTTACTGTATTACTGTGAGAAAGTAAACGACTCCAGCCCCTCGGCTGCTGCGCGACCTTGCATTTTTACGTTATGTTCCTGAACAGCCCGGTGTCCTGGCGTGTCACTCAATTTGTGCGTTGAACTCTAAGCCCAGCTGACCTCTGACTTCTGACCTGTGCCTGCTGACCCTTGTGGACTGCGGTTCCTCATTTTGGCGCAGGGGAGGGAGTGACCCTGCCCCTGTCTCTGCAGTCTCGTGTGGAGCGGCTGCTTACAGAGATGGAGGAGTCGTGACCTCTTAACTCTGACCCCTGACCTCTGCCCCCCCCCCCCTGTCCCTGCAGTCCCGTGTGGAGCGGCTGCTGACGGAGGTGGAGGGTCGGAAATACGCCGTGCACGCGCGCAGCATCCTGGCCACCGAGGACCTGGTGGAGAAGACCCAGCAGCTCAACGTCAGCGACCTCAAGGTGCGGAGGGCGGGAGCCGCGGGCGTTCTTGGTCCAGAGGTTAGGCCGGATGGTCTCTCCGCGGGGAAATGTGGAGATGTTGGACGGGTCTTGTTTGATGAAATATTCTTGTATTTGACCCACAGCTTGAACCCAATATTCGTTCGGGTGTTGTGACGTTTTTATGTCCACGCGTTGTCCAGCCGCGCCCATTGCAGCTGTTCGTCTCTCCTGCACACTCTCGGTCCTCCTTCCGACCTGTTTGTCCTCCACCTTCTCCACCGTGGAGGATGGTCTGCTCACCCTGATGTTCTCCCTGTCCCTGTCTCTTTTGTTTTCTCTTTTTCTATTTCTCGTTATCCCGTTCTCTTTCTATTTCTCTTTTCTTTCTCTTTCCCTTTCTCTTTTTCTTTCTCTTTCTCGTTTCCTTTCCCTTTCCCCTTCCTATGTCTTTCTTTTTCTCTTTCTCTTTCTCTTTCTCTTTCTCTTTCTCTTTCTCTTTCTCTTTCTCTTTCTCTTTCCCTTTCTCTTTCTCTTTCTCTTTCTCTTTCTCTTTCTCTTTCTCTTTCTCTTTCTCTTTCTCTTTCTCTTTCTCTTTCTCTTTCTCTTTCTCTTTCTCTTTCTCTTTCTCTTTCTCCTTCTCCTTCTCCTTCTCCTTCTCCTTCTCCTTCTCCTTCTCCTTCTCCTTCTCCTTCTCCTTCTCCTTCTCCTTCTCCTTCTCCTTCTCCTTCTCCTTCTCCTTCTCCTTCTCTTTCTCCTTCTCCTTCTCCTTCTCTCCCCCTCTCTCACTTTCCTCTCCTCCCCTCCTTGCCTCTCCTGAGATTGGGCCCAGGGCCCAATCTTATAAAATGCCGTACTATTCTATTTACGGCATTTGGTAACCTTCCCAGTGATACCAGTGCTGACAAAGGTTTATCTGAGTCAACGAAATGGTTCTTTAGACCGGCATATAACGATGGACTGAAATGCGTGAAAACCATTTTGCGTTTGATCGTCGTTTTCTGCAGCTGAACTTCAGCCAGTGCTGCCATATCCATTCCACGGCGTTTATAAGATTGAGCCCTGGCCTCTCTTATTCTCCTCTCCTCTCCTCTCATTCGCCCTCCTCGGCTCTCGGCTCCTGATCCGACAGCCGCAGCTCTCTGCCCCGGCTCTGGGCGCTGCCGTCTCCTGCTCCTCGTCCAGCTCCTCATTTGACGTCGTGGAGCAGATCCGCCGCCCGCCGCTGGTAAACAAGGTGAGAACCCCGCTTCCCCGGTGGTACAGTGGTAGATAAGGTGAGGCGCCCCATTTCACCGGAGGAGCAGAGCCGCCCCTCGCGGTCGATGGACAACGGGATATGGCTCTCCCCCCAAGTTTGGCATCTCTCATCACACGATCTGTTTAACGCTGCATAGAACATGCATCATACGTTCATTATTCCACCCGATTGGCTCCCCGTCCAGTTCCATCCTCGCTCTTAGTCTCGCTCGCACTGACGCGACCTCTCGCCCGCATTCTGTTGTCGCGGGTGGCTTGCGAGTGGCGCTGGTCGTCGAATGCCGTCGAACCGCTCATGCGCAGTGCTGCCCTCTAACCAGCAAATACTGCAGTTTGCCGGTTGCCAGGCACCTCCCGCCCCCCCCCCCCCCCGTCACAATGACTGGGGGGAGGGGGTGACGATCGGATCCCGTGACTGGCGGCTGGTAACGTGACGCCCCGCACCGTCTGGGTAACGTTACACCCCCGGCGTGTGTTCGGAGGGGGGGAGGGGTCTGTCACTGCGAGCAGAAACAAACGGGTATGGGCGATAGCAGCCGGTGAGAGTTTTAAAGAGAACTGCAGCTGATACGGAGGGTGGCGCGAGACGCACCGGGCCTTGAACGCCATTAACCCCTAGGTACATGCACAATGGGCGAACGTTTAATGTTACCTGTGTCATGTCATGACCTGTGTTCTTACCACTGACCTTCCTGATCTGTGTTTTCTGACCTCGTCCTAACCGGTTTTGACCTGGGTCATGACTCATGACACGTGAACTGACCTCTGACCTGACCCTCCTTCTGCCCTCTACCCCGCAGCCGCTGTCGGATCGTCTGGACGAGTACGTGGACGCGCCGGAGGCGGCCGACAGGATCTGCCAGATGCCGCCCGCCATGCAGCCCGTTCCGTGCAAGCCGCTCTTCTTCGACCTGGCGCTGAACCACCTGCAGTTCCCGGACGTGAGCGGCGAGATGGGCGCGCGCGCCGCCGCCGCCGCGCCCGCTGCCGGACAGAAGGGCGCCCAGGCCGCCGCCCAGCCCGGAGGACTGACCGGCTTCGTCAAGGGCCTCTGGGGCTGGGGTGGGAAGTAGGCGGACAGCGGGGCCGACTGGTGGACTGGTGGCGGGGTGAGCGGAACGGAGAGTGGATGGGGTGGAAATGTGGAGAGCGGGTGTGGACGGACGCCGGAGGTGGGGTGGACTGGGTGGACCGGAACGGCGAGTGGAGGAGTGGGTAGATTCCAAGGACCGGGCGCGGTGAAAATTGTGAGGCGGACATTGAGGATGAACCGGGTGCCTGGGGTGAAGTGGACCTGTGCTAACGCTGAGAGAGTGCAGTGCGTCTGTTACGGGGGCTACGGATGGGCGCCAAGGCGTCCAAGCCTCGGACCATCTTGCCAGCCATGGTGGGGAGCTGTGCTAGTGTCTGGATGATGACCTTTCCCGGCTATCTGGGTTTAGGTTCACCCGGTCCCACCTCTCCCCAGCTGCGTTCCACGGGCCCCGTCCCCTGTATCGGTGTTTGGCCGCGTGCCGCCCTCGAGCGCAGACTGCCAGGTTAGAGTGCGGTGGTTGGGGAATATATCTATATTCACACACTTGAAAGGCGTTTTGAATAGGCTGTTTCACGTGACGCTGACCGGAACTGTTTTCTGTTATTTGTGGTTTCTATTGGTTTGGGACGCTGAATAAATTATTGACACGCCTACCAGCACCGAATGAGTCGTTACCGCTAAAAGTCGTCGATACCTATTCAGTCATGCGGTAAATGATGGTGTTTGCAGCCGTGAATTGTGCCACGGATGGGAATGATACTTTGGTGAGACATATAGGACAGCGTAATTCCCGAGACGAGACGACAGGCGAGACTGGAAAATTGAAGAGCTCATCGAAAGCCCGATTGTCTGTTGTGAATTGAGAACTTGCGTTCTCCGATAGTCATTTGCTTTTAGCAAAACTAATTTGAGTTTACGCTTTATTCCTATAGGATATTTCTTGTCACCATCTCGAGTGTCTAAGCTAAGCGTTTCGTTTTTCAATAGATGACACACCTGACAACGTAACGTTAAATTTTCATAGATAAAATTTGCATGCCTCGTTTTAGCGAGTATCAACAGCCGTCGATATCGACAACTTGTGTGCGACAAAACTGGCGCAGCTCTCAGCTGATGAATGTGCGGTTGATAAGGGAGGCGGAGATCAACAGATAAAATAAATCAACGTGGCCCCGCTGGAATATTTTGGTGAATTTTTAATTGTTCATCTGTGTATTCCTCAGGTAAGTATCTCACTATTTTTCATTGGTTAAGTTATCTGGCCCCTGCAACTTAGCTTGGTTTCAGCAGCACTTCAACGTTGTCCGAATTTATGGTGCATAGGATAACCTGTGAATTTAGAATGAATGAGCTATTTCTCCTTGCATAATGTCTAATTTTCTGTTATCTACTGCTTAAAATGATAAATTCATCTTAAGTTAATTTATTTGCGTTGTCATGTCTAAAACAGCATCCCAACCAAACTTAGTTGATTTAGGTGGGAAATGACATCCAAATGAAAACAATGCTCCACTCCCACCTCCTCTTAAAAAAACATGTTTTTCAATCCTGGTTTTACTGAAACAATTAAGCATTTGCATGGATGGTCTTTTATCCTAAAATCTACTGCACTTGTAGGTATATGAAATTATGCTTTTGACCATTTTTCTACCTTTGATGGGCCTTACCTAACCCACAATTTTCACTCTTCTCTTGGGTAAATAATTTTTCCCTTTGACACCCATGACCCAAGTAAAAATACGTTTTTGGGACACTGGTCTAAAATATCTAGTCATTCCAATTATAGGGATTGTCTCAGTCTGATCCGATGGTAGCCGGACTAGGGACATTAGTTTATGCAACAAGTTTTGCTTATTACTAGCTATGGCTCTGCTCACCTGTCAATTCAAACATTGAAGTAGGTTTTGTAAATAAATCACAAAAATGGAAAGTATTTGTAGCTTTCAATAGAAACAAAAGAGAAGATAATTCCCTGGTGTCCCAAGTGAATTGTTTTAAAAACAGGGCCTCTGTTAAACTGTTCATCAGGTGGTAGATGTGGTGGGCAGGGTTTCAGTTCATCATGTTATATTTTGCTCAATTAAGTGTGGAATTCTGACTTTATCATAACATGGATTGCCTTTGTTTCAGTGATTGCTCATCTTCCTGTTCAAAATGATGGAGGGAGGAGCCTTTGGTGGTGCCAAGATGGGTGCAGCCTTTGACCCTATTGCCTTCATTCAAAGGCCACAGGTCATCTTAAGAGCACTTTGTTTGGTAAGCTAATGATGCTTGGTAAATTTGATATTATTAAACTTTTTAGAGCTTTCCCTTGCTCTTGGCTTTTTTTGCTGCTCTTGTTGCTGATTCCAGCTCAATTTTGCTGTGGATTGTGTGCAAGGACATTTTCCTTGACTAATTAGAAATCTGTTCTGATAATTGGACTGTTGAAATGGTATTTCAACAGAGGCAGTCATGGCTGTAGTGTATACAAATATATTTGTTTTATGAGATGAATACTTGTGAATGATAAGTTGGTGGTCATGAGCCCAGAGGCCAGAGCCCTATCACTAATTAGTCATTGTTGCTATTAGATTAAAGATTATGTGTTATTCCTGTCAATCCTCTGCATTTCAACCAAAACCTTTGCATGTGAACATTGCAGCAATTTTTAGTGACTCCTTGTGGCCTGCTGCCTCCACCCAGTCCGTTTATCACCTCTGACTATCTCTCGGCTCCTGTGTGCAGCTGTTCTCCATCATCATCTTCGGCTGCATCTCCTCGCAAGGCTGGTACGAGGATGACGATATGAAGCAGGTGTGCATGTACAACCAGAACAGTGGCGCCTGCAACTACGGGACCGGCATCGCCGTCATCGCCTTCCTCGCCTGCTTCGCCTTCATTGCCGGCGAGTTCTTCTTCAGCCGCATGTCGTCCGTCAAGACGCGCAAACACTACGTGCTGGCCGACCTCGGATTCTCCGGTGAGCGATTTCTGGGACAAGTGACGGACGGTACCTAGGGCTTTTTGACGGGCCGTGAGGTAATTGACGGCCGCCATGGTGGTGGTTTTCGGGCCGCGAGGGCGATTACCGAGCCGCTAGGGCGATTACCGAGCCGCTAGGACGATTACCGGGTCGCTAGGACGATACAGGGTCGTAATGGCCATTACCGGGCCGCTAGGGCGATACAGGGTCGTAAGGGCGATTACCGGGCCGCTAGAGCGGGAATCGAGCCGTTAGGGTCATGACCGGGACGTTAGGGCCATTACCGGGCCGTTAGGGTGATAACTGGGCCGCCGCGTCAAACACCGGGACGTTAGGGCAAGTGGGGAGCTTTTAAGGTGATAACGGGGCCATTAGGGCCGTTACTGAGTCTTGAGGGCATTACTGCTCCCTCCCCTGGTGGTAACCGGGGCGATAACCGGGTCGCCACGACGAATAACGGGTCTTTAGGGAGATTACTGGGCGGCTAGGGCGGTTACAGAACCACCCAGTAACTTAATTTCTGTGAAAAATCCGCAGCGCATTTGTAGGTTTGGCGTGAGACCGTTGTCGGCTGGTGGTTATGCCGACTTGCCCCAGCGTTCGGCCTCGCTAGTGCCCGTCTGCTCACAGGCGGGCTCCGAGCACTGAGTGTATTTATTCCAACCTCGGTGCCCACGACTTGCGCAGTGACTTACAATGACAGTGCACCCATACAAGGGTGGATCGCTGAGCGATTCTGGGAACTGTGCCGAACCCTTTGCAGGACCTCGTTCAAGTAATGGCCCGGATTGACGGCCGGTCGCGCTATCCTGATCGTGATCATACACGCCCACTGCCAGAACATCCTTTGCATGCCCTGCGACATACCTTACGTATCCTCCCCCATGAGCCGACAAGGGGAGCCGTCAGAACACAGCTACCGTGAGAGGAAAGGACTGGACGTTCCGAGCTCCAACGGGGCCCTGTTTCACGGCACGTCGTGGCCTGTCGCTACCAGGGCCAGATATTGGCGCTCGGTTTCCATGGAAATGTGAGCAAAATTGCCATTTCTGCGTACCGTTTCCGTGGAAACTGAGCGCCAATACTGTGTAACGGCATGCCGTAAAACAGACCCCTTCACAGCACACAGTCTGTAGGTGAGGCTCGGTGCGTCATTCGCTCCTCCTTCCGACCCCGCGGTATCCGGCCGGATCTGTGGTCGGCGTTTCCGACTCGGCGCCGGGCTTCCATACCCACAGCCTGTCCCGATAGGTAGCCGCGCTGTTTGTATCGGGGCTTCCATACCCACAGCCTGTCCCGATAGGTAGCCGCGCTGTTTGTATCGGGGCTTCCATACCCACAGCTGTCCCGATAGGTAGCCGCGCTGTTTGTATCGGCTCCCTAATTCCTGCCACCAGTACCAGGTGTAGACGGCGGTGGGTGGAGCAGGGCAGGGCTCGCTGCACTTTGACTTCTGAATTATTTCGACTGCCGGACGCTCCCCAATCAGACCGTAAAGGTCAGGGCACGCCCAATGAGCTCTGATTAGCGGGGAGGGGACACCCGCCTCCACCATGCGCGCTTCAGTTCGTGTCTCAAATTATTGAATCTGGCCATGCAATTAATAACATGGATGGCTCTTTTCGAAGGTTTGCATTTATATGATAGAAATTGAATAAATATTTGGCTTAACGTCATATCATGCCCTAGCGAGGTTCCTTAAAGCCTGTTTGTGTGCCCCTCATGTCGTCCATCAATCGTGAAAGAATAGAACAATCGCCGTGCCCTCCTGCAGAAATAGCCGGGTAACGATCATTTCACCATCGATCTCGGCCGCGTTATACTGCAGACCGAATTCCGGGCCATCTCTCTGACTGCCGCAGCGGCTGCTCCGTCAGTGGAGTAGGTACTGAGGACGAGAGCGGCCTGAGTGGGGGCGGCGGGCATTACCACTGAAATACGACGCCAGTGTCCGATGACAGTTCCCGGATCGATTAAAACAAACTTGCTGCCCGGTTACGGCTCATGCCACATTCATGCCTAAACTTCACATTAAAGTGCCATTACGATAATGAAGTACATCCTTACCGGTTGTTTTGGAGTTGCAATGGTCAGTGTTATGACGCAAATGACCTTGTAGTCGACACTACCGTGAGCCCTAATACATCATTCATTGGAAGGAATTACGACGAAGGGAGGTTATCATGTTCATGGTTTATTTTGACTGCCCTTGATACACCGCATAGCTGAAGTACGAACCCCAATTGCGTTGTGGATGGTATTTTGGACTTTTGGTAGTGGCCAAAGGTATGGAATAACCATCACCTATATTCCATAATTTCCGCCCAGGTAATTATCCTCCGTAGTGTCAAGCGTCACTGGTTGTGTCGGTATCATTCAGCAGTCAGTACCGTCGCTGCCCCGCTGTGCCGCGACTCAGTCCCGGCGCCGGCCGCTGCCCCGCCGGCCGCTGCGCCCGCTGCTCAGCGCCGGTACCTGCCCCTCCGTCCGGTCACGTAGCGCGGGGTACTCAGTGGTCGCTCACGTCCCGCCGGCCGTCAGGGCGCCGAAACGGGCCATTGATAGACTGCTCCGACCGCGGCGCTGCCAGCGGGGGAGGGGAGCCGTGGGCAGGGAGGGGCGGCGCTGGTTTTGGACGGGAATAGCGGAGTAATTTAGTGGGAGGATGGGCGATCCACGGGACTGACATGTGCTTATCAATGCTAAGGAACGTTAGACTGGAGGAAAGACGGTCTGGGAGCTGTTACAATAATCCTGTTTGGATAAGTCTCTATTGTTTCGGAAGCTAACTTTAGAGGCTTTATAGAGGGTAATGCAGTAATTCGTGTTGTATTTAGGGGACGTTTATTTTAGGTCTGACCGTTGACCGCTATCCGTGCGGCTCACTGACGGAGGTCTCCGCTTTACCCGGCAGGATTCTGGACGTTCCTGTTCTTCGTGTCGTTCTGCTTCCTGACCAACTCCTGGAGCAACACGGAGGGCGTGCCGACAGCCAACGACAAGAACCCCGTCCAGGCCGCCATCGCCTTCACCTTCTTCTCCATCTTCACATGGGTCAGTCGCTAAATTCGCTAGGGTGTCACGACGCCTGGGCTAAGGCCGCCCCACACTGGAACTCGCATGCGGATTGCGAGTTTGCGGGCATAATACTAATTCATAGTGATTAGGCCGTTCCTTTATGGTAAATGGTAGCTTCATGAATGCAGTAAAGCCGGTACACCTTCAGAAACTTACATATAGTCGCAATACCAGCGCAACGAACCAAAATTCGTCTCCAACGAAAAACCCGCAAACCTCGCAGAACTCGCAGACCTCGCAGCGAGGAAAATCGAAAGTTGGCTCAAAATCAACTTTTGGAATGCGATGCAAGGTCGCTCGTAATCTAAAACATGCAGACTCGCTTGTTAGATGGAAGTGTGGTTCACTCAACTTAGATTGTACTATTTGATTTTGAAGAAACCCAAAAATTGGCAACTCGCATGCGAGGTCCAGTGTGGGGCGGCCTTTAGTCGTATACTTTCCGTCTTGACCAGCCTCGGCTTCACCCAGGGGGTCAGTCTATCGCCCAAGTCCCCGGCGTCAATATGTTGCGTTGTCAGCTTTTTGACACCGCGGCCAGTTTGCTGAATTCACGAGCGTGGCATGGATCAGTCGCATCACCTCCCGCACCAGTTTGAGCCCGTCCAGGTTTGATTTGGACACTGTCCTGGCGCGACCGTCGGGCCGGTGTGTGTCACCGTCTAATGTCTGTGTCAGTGCCCTAACCCGCCTTCCCGCACTCGTCTGTGAGTGATATAGTACATGATCCGCCTGCTCTGCGCGGCAGACTTTGACCTTCGCCGAGCTGGACCCACTCTGAGGACATTTGCCCTCTCATGAGACATCTCTTCTCCAACGGGGCGTTGGAGAAGAGATGTCTCATGAGAGGGCAAATATCCTCAGAGTCTGTCTGTCCCCCCCCCCCCATCGGTGCCTTTGGGCTGTAATCTTCCTGAATTGCTCTTTAACACAGTACAGAATCCATCACTCCCCTATATCCCTCCGAGCCTCACCTGTCTGACCTGAACACCCGCTCCCACAGGGCGCCCTACCTGGCCTACCTGTCTCCGTCTGTCCCTCCCCTCGGCTGTCCACAGGGCGCCCTACCGGGCCTACCTGTCTCCGTCTGACCCTCCCCTCGGCTGTCCACAGGGCGCGCTGGCCTATCTGGCCTACCTGTCTGTCTGACCCTCCCCTCGGCTGTCCACAGGGCGCCCTACCTGGCCTACCTGTCTGTGTGACGCTCCCCTCGGCTGTCCACAGGGCGCCTTACCTGGCCTACCTGTCTGTGTGACGCTCCCCTCGGCTGTCCACAGGGCGCCCTACCTGGCCTACCTCTCTGTCTGACCCTTCCCTCGGCTGTCCACAGGGCGCCCTACCTGGCCTACCTGTTTGTCTGACCCTCCCCTCGGCTGTCCACAGGGCGCGCTGGCCTACCTGGCCTACCTGCGCTTCAAGCAGGGCACGGGTAACGAGTTCGCCACTGGCTACGATCAGCAGGAGGGCGGTGTGCCGGGCGGCGCCGGGTACGCCGGCTACCCGGGCGCCATGGACGGCTCTGCCGACCAGTCCGGCTACCAGGAGCCGCCCTTCTCGCAGCCCCAGGACCCCGCCGGTGAGTGACGGGTGCCCGACCCCCCGCCGGTGAGTGATGAGTGCCTCAGGACCCCGCCGGTGAGTGATCCAGAGCCGGCCGGTAACCTCCAGTGAGCGTCCCAGGACCCCTGGCAGGGGAGAGCCGAGTGTCCCAGGACCCCTGGCAGGGGAGAGCCGAGTGTCCCAGGACCCCGCCAGTGAGTGTCCCGTGGGCCCGCTGGTGAGTGACCCCACCCTCGGCCGGTGAGTGCCGAGTGTCCCAGGACCCCGGCGGTGAGTGTCCCGTGGGCCCGCCGGTGAGTGATGGGTGCCCGAACCGCCCGGCCGGTGAGTGCCGAGCGTCCCAGGACCCCGCCGGTGAGTGATGGGTGCCCGACCCTCGGCCGGTGAGTGTCCAGACACGACCGTTGAGTGACGAGTGTCCCACCCGGCCGATGAGTGCCCCACCCTTAGGCTGGTGAGTGTCTGACTCTGAGGATCCGCCGAGACACGAGACAGGTTAATCGTCGGGTGGGATTGCAAATGCTCTCCTGGCGTGATAGACATACTAAGAGCTGTATTTCGCCCGCCTGATTCTAGATAGGATCATGATTTAGAGTGAAGACTTTTGGGGTAATTGACCTGACAGGGAGTGCTCGAAATAGAGAGGATGTGCAGCTGTCACAATTGACGTTTACCGTGCTTTTGTTTGTTGTTACGTGTCATCTGTCGTATTATTCGCTAGCAGCTAAGTTTTGTGTCGATCACGATTTGCTTTTTTACGAGACTCGCTCACCTAGTTTCCGTTCCGCCGCCAGGCACCGGCAACTTCCAGCCGCCGGCCTACTAGGCGCGGCGACTGAGTGACGGCACTGGCGGTACCCGGCCGGCCGAGCCCCGGTCTGCGGAGCCCGCGCCGCCGAGGTCTCCGGCTCGACTGTCCCGACCGGCGGGTATCCCCGCAGCCGGCGGATCTCGGGTCTCGCCGCCGGCAGCATCGCGCACAGACGCCGGTGTCCTCCCCGTACCGCCGGATCCGCAGGTATCCGGATCCGTAGGGCGGCATCCGGATCGCTCCGGGCTGCGGCAGTTGTTTTATCCAGATCGGCGTGTGTGTGATTATTTACATTCGACTATGTGATATCAGTTGGGCCGCGGCCGCCGGCGCAGTCCGCCGCCCCGGGCATTGCCGTATCAATATTCATGTTATTCGTCTCTGGATCTGTTCAATTGTACTCTCAGTTCTCCTATTTTGTTTATCCCGCGCCCCCGAGCGCCCGGCCGTCTGGTCTGAGTGCTGGTTTGTTTTCTCGGTTGTTTGGGCCAGCATTAAATGTTTACGGGACTGCATGCGTCCTGGAGCTCCTAGTCAACGGCAAGTAATAAGTAGAATAGCTCATTGAATAAGACAGCTAGTCGGTTACAGGCGCTCGCTGGCGCGGCCGGGCCGCCGCCGCGTCGGCTTTGTGTAGCGGTAGTGGTGTCTTAGCGCGCTGTGTGGTGTGTGCCGTGTGGGTGTGGGTGTGTGCCGGCAGGTTATCCCCCGGTTATAGTTACTGCCACCGCGCGATAGGTGACTGCCCGCCGCGCGGTACTGATTAAATCACCTATTTATTTAGGTATTCCGAGCTGATTAACCGGGGAGGGTTCCCGTGTATCACAGTCGGCGCGGCGTGGGTTGGGTTGTAATCCAGCGAGTCCCATATCAGTTATCTCTCGGTTGTTGGTTGGTTGTTGGTTTGACTGCGGCGCTCGGTTTTCACCAGTGAGTGGATCGGACACCTGTCTGGCCAGCTGTCCCAGCTGGGCGCTCTCCCACTCTCTCCTCCCCTCCGCTCTCTCCGGCGCCTCAGCCCCTCTACAACTGTGGGAGATTGCCGCGGCAAGTAGAGGCTCTTTGTCGCTGGCGTACACTGAGTGTGGCTGCGTACTAAGCCTGGATCGTGACGTGTAGCTGTTAGCTATGTCGTAGTCTCCCCTCTCTCTCTCTCTCTCTCTCTCTCTCTCTCTCTCTCTCTCTCTCTCTCTCTCTCTCTCTCTCTCTCTCTCTCTCTCTCTCTCTCTCTCTCTCTCTCTCTCTCTCTCTCTCTCTCTCTCTCTCTCTCTCTCTCTCTCTCCGTGTTAGCTGTTGCAGAGTTCCTCCGTCGCCGTATCTCTCCCTGTGCTGGTGTGGGGGTTCATAATACCGTATCACTCCCGTTTGTCTGTCTGTCTGTCTGTGTGGTTACCTGCTGCTATTGTGAGAGCGCTAGTGCGGCCGCCGGCCATGCTGTGTATCTGTGTAGCACGCTTCTGCGTATCCATACATCTCTGTCGGTCTGACAGCCGTCACCGTGACAGCTCCTGTCTGTCACCGGGCCGGACCTCGGCTGATGCGCCTCGTCCGAGGCCCGCGGAGGGGCCGTGAACACCCATACGAGACCCATGTTGGACCCGTCGGGCCCGGTCAGTCTGTAGGGAGACGGAGCGACGCTAGCGCCGCCCCTCGCCAGAAAGCAGAAATACAGTGTTGTTGTCGGAACGGCTGTTTACAGACAATAGGTATGGAATCCAGCTATCCATGGACAGCGAACTGTGAGACTGAGGAGCTGACCAAAACTCTGCGTATTGTGAACTCACCCGTCCCGTGGCGCAGTTTGTAGGCATCTGGGGCTGAGATCTGAGATCTAAGAACATATGAGAATCAGTGCAAGGCCGTACGGGGATCAGTGATCAGACGGGGGGAGAGGGGCTGGGCTTGAGTCGCTCCGGCGGCTCCAGCCCAGTGCTCCTGACGGGTACGCTGCATCCAGAATCGCTGGTTGGACTTTGTGGGGCCTATATCTTGGTATGGGGTCGTTTGGCAACATTGGGTTTTGGCTTCTAGCAAATTCTCCCGACAACCCGAATGTTCCAGATGGAAGGATGCTGCGCGAGAGCATTTTGTTCTGGTTTGGTCAACTGCCTCGTCCAAAGCAAAATCCTAATAATGTATAATAGAAAATGAAAATCAACCCCGCGTAAACCGGCAACAGGACTGCCCAAGGCCCACTGCCGAATTCAAATTGCTCCTCGCAATGATGTAGCCGCCGCCTGAGGTGCCATTACGTAAGACGAAAACAGCAGTTGCGTCACACGGGGCGCTTGATTAGAAGAGGAACGCTGCCAGTTTCAACATGGATGCGCCCACGGAGGAGCGTGAACACTTCGGTGCTTTTCCAAGAAAACCATGTAGAACCTGTACTGACTTCAAGACATGGATGAAAATGAGTGGACCAAAACAACCAGGAAAAGAAGATAAGGTCAGTATGTCGTTTTTATTCATTTTGTTGCTAAATTCACCCTGTTTGATCTGAAGAAGTGAATCTTGGTTTCAGTGCTCTCAAAGTTGTGGTGTAAAAAGGATAAATTGAAAAAAGATATTTCACATTTTATGATCCCTTATGTATCTGTGATTCAGAGATTAAATATGGTTATATGTCATAAATACTTTTTGTTTCTCAGTGCCCAGTGGTAGGTCATGATCTGAGGGCTGTTCACGGGCCCTGTGTGCAGTCGGACCGCACACAGCCTCGAAGCTCCGCCCACTTCGTCCCTACGTCAGCCTTCCGTCACCGCACACAGCGATCGCTGTGGCCGGTCGGGACTGGCCACAGCGGACCGTCCACTGCACGCAGCCGTGACGTCAGAGCCGCCTACCCATCCCCTACCCCCACGCCTGCTGGACGCACCGCACACAGCGCACGCACCAGTGTGCGGTGCCCGTGAACACCCCTCTGGGTTCATACCTTTCTTTCTAACTGTGTCAATAGATGCTTTGTGATATTTTGAGCAAAATGTCACTGGTTCCACAGGCTGGCACCTCACCACAGAAGCCACCACAGTCAGCAAGTGTTTCCAAGGTAGAACACACCGCTGAGGGCCTGTCAGGCTGCCCTCTCGACAAGAATGAGCTTGGTCGGAACTCCTGGTCACTGCTGCACACCACAGCAGCTGTGTACCCAGACAAACCGAACCAGGGCCAGCAGGAGGACATGAAGCAGTTCATCAGCCTCTTCTCCCGGCTCTACCCCTGCACCTACTGTGCGGAGGACTTCCAGAAAGAGTGAGTCATTTACTTAGCATTCATATTTGGAAAGCTGTTAACTGACTTTACAAGCTACAACTTAGGTCATAGACCACTATATATCCACTATATAGACCACTATATATGTAGATATATAGTGGTCTATGCTTAGGTATAACCACAATAATCTTGACCCAAGTCACATTAGTTTAAACTAATGCAATTGCATGGACTTTTCAATATGCTACTCTCTAATTTCAGAGATTAATATAGTTTACTATCCCCATGTTCGATGTTTCTTGGACGACAAAGATTCTAAGTCGTCCGGCCAATCACGTTCCATAACCACAGCCGAGTCCCCGCTGACCTCGAACGGGATTGGCCGGACGGCGTAGGATCTTCATCGTTCGAGAGACAACGAACGCGGGTTATGTGAATGCCGAGACTCCCAGACCTCCTGGAATGACAAACCTTCCATTGTTTTCAGCATTGCGGAGCACCCTCCGAAGGTGGAGACCCGCTCAGCCCTGTCCCGGTGGTTCTGTGACCGCCACAACACCGTCAACAGGAAACTGGGGAAGCCCGAGTTCGACTGTGACCTTGTGGACGAGAGGTGAGCTCAGAGATCCGCAATATGATATCATCAGTTATATCGGTCCTGAACTTCTGAAGCTCCGTTGAAAAAGCACTGGTCTCGACTTGTCTCAATGAGAGTCGCGGTTCGAGTCGCTCCGGGGCTTGACGTATGAGACTCCCGACGGGGATGGCCTGAGGAGATGGTCTGCGGTTGTTAGGTCAGCTATGTGTAGCCACAATAAGCTGAAGTCAGTTAGGTGGGGCGGGCCACGACCAGTTTTCATTGTTACACCAAACTGGGACCGGAACTCTCCTAATTCAATCCGATATTGACGGGACGGTGGGAATCGGGCCTGCGTAACAAGATCTGCTTAGCGTTGGCTCCGGCTCAATCAATCCGTGTGTTCGAGCAAAATTTGGAAGAAGTAGTCGGCGTCCTTCGTCTTTCGGAGAGGATGCATTCAACGACAGAAACTCATTTGCGATAAAAGGTCATATTCTAAAAATGTTCAGTTTGTACGCCTATCAGAATGGTTAGGCATTGTATTTGATCTAACAGCGGCTGTTTGGTTTCCTGTTACAGGTGGAGGGATGGATGGAAGGATGGAAGCTGCGGATAGCGACCCTGCCTGGACGCGTACGATAGCCTTTGTTACGATGTTTTTAGTCAATTTTGTGCCTACTCGATCACAGTCTGCAGGATTGTCATGTGATGTGTAACAAAGGGGCGTGCAACATTGCCAATAACGAGTGATTGTTCCCACGGATCGCTGCAAGTCCACCAACCTTGCATTGCAGAGATGGTTTATTCCATTTTCTGTCCTGCAACATGTGTTTTGGAGTATAGATTTTGGCCCCAGCCAGTATTTTGTAAGACCGCTATTAACCAGTTCAGGGATGTTGTATCAATGCCCATATCCCTGAGCGGGATGTGTTCGATACATTGTTATTGCTGTCTTTGGGTATTTTGTATAAACTTTGGGTCCGATGTGCCTGTGATTTAGCCTCGCAATGGACATTGCTCTTGCGGCGAGGTGTCTATGAAACTATGTGACGCAATAATAACGGTGCCGTATGTGAAGATTCGTTTCTGTGCTGATGGTGATTATATTAACGGATCCGGTCTGATCGATCGTGCAGACATCACCACCGTGCAACGGCCAGTTTCCCGCCCTCTCCACAATAAGTCCATCATCTCTCGCTGTGTCAAACGGTACCTTTATTGGGGCCACGCATCCGGCATCAATGCGCTAGAAAACAATGCGCACGGCACAACAATATCCGATGTACGACGCATAAAGACGCAAGAACGAATGACACCGTTCGGAGCACGGAAAGGTCCGAGACCGTCTACCAGAACGACAGGTGTGGCACACGGTGCGCCGGTGGAAAAGTGGCGCCCATGAACAGGACTGCGATCAACTGCAGGACTTCGACACCGGGTTATTGGCCTGAATCAACAGCAATTGAACCTTACTCTCGATCGTACTTCAGCACACGTCCCCGACCCCAACCCAGCCAGTTCACTTCCCGCAATGCAAAACTCCGACAGGGTTGCTCAAACAGAAGCGAACGCCACTTTCCTGAGCACATCTACGTCAGGCTCACTGGTTGTCACTGGTTGAGCGCCCTTCAAACACACCGGTCTGATTCCCGTTACCGACATCGCGAGGTCTGACCGTCTGATCGGGTCAAAGACCACCCAGTTCCTTTCCGTCAGTTCCACCTCACACTGCCGCTTTCACACTGAAGTCCCGCCAGCGGCCCGTCCCCAGCATCGTCCGGTCCCACCTCCCCGGTCCGGGTCCGGCCCGGGTCCTGGCACATCACCGCTCCCCGTCCCGCCCGTCACCGGCCGTACTTGCCGGAGGCGCGCTGTTTGTGCCGCAGCTGCGCCAGCCCCCGGGACGAGGTGCGCGGCACGCGGCCGCTGTACAACAGCCGCTCCCGCAGCCCCATCAGCTCAGGGTTCACCACCGCCGGCAGCTGCGAGGTCGGCAGCGCGGCCGCCTTGAACGTGGTGCTCTGGCCCTCGGCCAGCGGGATGAAGTCCAGCGCTCCGCTCACCGCCGGCGTCGGGTACTTGAAGCGCTTCTTCTTGGGTCTGGGCGCGCCGTCGGCGGGCTGCTGCCGGCCGCCGTCCCCGTCCCCGGCGGTCTCCTCCGCCTCCTCGGCGGCCAGCTCGTCAGCCAGCTCGTCCATCAGCTCCTGCTCCATGCGCCGCTGCTTGTCGAGCTTCTGCTCGCGGTTGCGCTCCTGGCGGTCCCTGTCGCGCTGCCGGCGCGAGTCGTCGCGGCGCCGGCGGCTGTCGGCCAGGTCCCGGAGCAGCGCCTCCGCCTCCCGGCGCGCCGCCGACAGGCCCACAGACTCGGGCGCCTCGTCGTCGCTGCCGGCGAGCGTCGAGACGTCGTCCTCCGGGTCGGCGGCGGCCGGCGCCGGCTGGAAGGTCACCTCCTCGTCACTGGAGGGCCCCGAGTCGGCCGGCGGCGTGCCGGCGCGGCGGCGCGCCCGCGTCTGGCGGCTCTCACGGGACGGCATGGCGGCGGGCTGCGGGGACCTGCCGAGCAGAGAGGCGGGGTTAGACTGGGCGAAAGGCTGGGCACAGAGTCACGCTCACCATGATCTATCGGCGTTTTATTTCAATATATTACAATTATCTAAAAAAGCACACAACGAAATTCATTTGATCGATGGAAGAATGAATCGTAGTTTTCATAGATGATTCAAGTTTTTTTTAGTGGACTGGCCTAATAATATCAAATTCAATCATTAACCGATTGATGAACCACCTCGGCTGCTGTACGTTAGCTTTGACGCTCTTCAAAATCATCACTGAATACTCAGTCGAATGAGTGACTGTCGAGTGCGGCCTCACGCTGATTGGGCAATGGGCAGCCAAA